CCTCAGTTGTTAAAAGGATTTGAAGGAATGGGCTTCTGACCAGAGTTGAGTAATTTTGGATCATGAAATGATGAGTGCAGGAAGGACTAAAGAAGGGCTGGATAGCCAGAGAAGACCGAACCGAGGGAACGGAAATACCCAGCAGTGGTTGTATTCAATGATAGAAGGATGAACTTCACCTTTGCAACCTGGTCTCTGTGAGGCCTGGGCTCAGTTGGGAAAGGAGTTCATCCTACCTCAAGCTTGGAGTTAAGACCTTCTGGGGAGTGGGGGAAGGTGGCCCGGGACCTGTGATTGAGAGGAGAGGAGAGAATGCGCCCCTCTCCTCTCAATCACAGGTCCCGGGCCACCTTCCCCCACTCCTGGCTGCCATTGGCTTAGAACTTCCCTTATTTGCCTGAGGCTCAGAGGTGACATGACTTGTCTGAGGCAGGATGACAATTCATTGAGGTCTTTTTCACAACCACCCCCCTCCCCAGCCTGAACCTCTCTTGGTGCCACAGTTCAGCTCCTGTGCAAGTGATTGACTGGCACAACATCTATTTAAACATTATAATGGAAGTTTCCAGTGTAAATCCCAATTCTGTTAAACAGAAACACAGCATGTATTGCCTATTGTGCAAGGTGCTGTGCTAGGGACAGAGGATGTCAAGGTAAGCCATAGAAAATGGTGAGTTGGTTTGTAAACAAGTCTGGTCCAAGGTGGAATATGATCATGGCAGATAAAGAACTGTAAACACTGGGGGAAAAGCAGGTGTCCCTGAAGGGAGGGAATAGAGGGAGAAGGAAGTGATCTGCACAGTGCCTGGCACTTGGTGTGATGGTGCCTGACCTAGACCTGGGCAGGATCTCATCCCATGAGGGAGGATGTCCCTGTGCCAAGTCTCCACTTCAATTCCATCTTCTACAGGAAACTTGCTTTCAGTCATAATTCTGTGTGCCTTCCTTTTAATTATTCCCTTTTTGTATGGTCTATAGCTTGTTTGTACACATGTGTTGTTGTTTCTCCCCCATTAGACTGTGAGCTCCTCAAGGGCAGGAACTGTCCTTTCCTTCTTTGTATATCCCCAGCACTTAGCACATAGTAGATGCTGGATGTTTATTGACTCCCCTCTTTTCAGATAGGCACAGGTTCTTACTCTTTGTAAGAGGAGAGAGAGGACAGAATAGCTGGGACAGTCCTTTGCCTCTTGGTATCGCCATTCCTTAGCACGGTTCCTGGCACATAGTAGGCTCTCAAATGTTTATTGACTGATAAGGGAGTTTTTTCTTTAGAAAAACTTAAAATTTATATCTTTTGTTTCTTACATTGGCAATAATAGGCGCCTAATAAATTCTTCTGTGGCGTCTGAAGTGGTGACTGAATTGTCAGTTGGGTGAGTGAGGTAAGACCAGAGTACTCTGGTTTTGATCTGTTTTCCTCTTAGTGGTCTGAAGTTTTCTTTCCTAGGGTTGTCAGTAGATAGCAGTTCTTCTGAGAATTCTCTGTCCTCCACATCCTCGGGCTACTCTCCACTGGGGTCTGGCTTTTGGGCTTAGGTATTTTACTCTAGCTTCTTCTTCTCCAGGCAGCTTTTCTTTCCCCAGATCTACTCTTCATTAAACTCTTGTGACTTCCTGTTGCCTCTAGGATCTGTTTTAAAGCCTTTGGCCTCCTCTCCTTGTACGCTGCTCTCTACTCAGCATCTTTGTGTCTTTGTGCTGGCCAACTCCTGTGCCCCAAATAAAATTCCTTACCTCCTAATAGTCCTTCAGACTTCAGCTCCAGCACCTCATTTTGCATAAAACCTTTTCCTGGTGCCCCCAACTAGTCTCACTCCCCCTTTCTGATTACCTTCTATTTAACTAAATTGTATTTATTTTGCCTTCACTATACTTATTACTTGGGACAGCTAGCACAGTGGATAGAGTGCTGGACCTAGAGTCAGGAAGACCTGAGTTCAAATTCAGCCTCAGATACTTCCTAGCTATGTGATTCTGGGCAAGTCACTTAACCTTGTTTGCCTCAATTTCCTCATCTGTAAAATGAGCTGGAGAAGGAAGTGCAAACCACTCCAGTACCTTTGCCAAGAAAACCCCAAATGGGGTCACAAAGAATCAGACAAGACTGAAATGACTGAACAAATGTTTATTGACTTATTATACGTGAGTGAATATAATATGTTCCTTGGGAGTAGAGTATGTTATTTAAGACTCTCCATCCAATACCTAGTTTAGTGCCTAATACATAGTAGGCAGTCTTCATCGTTTGTTCTTTGAAACAGAAGAGGGCAGGCTAAGATAGCTGAGAATAGCTGGCAAGTCCCCTTTTGTTCCTGACCAGGGGAAGTTGAAAAGGTACGGGTTCCAATGAAACAAGATTGAAAAGGTAGGTTTGGGGTCTTTGTGGGATCGTTCTCCAGGCAATAAGGAGTCAACTTGAAGTTTTTTGAGCAGAAGAGTGAAATTGTCAGACTTATCTGATTTATTTTATTAGTATGTTGTAATGGTGACCGTTAACAAGCAAGCAACTTTTTTAAAGTGAGTTTGTAATAAGTGTAGAATATGCTTTGAAAATGTTTTTAAAATGTGTATGGCTGCCAAAGGAAGTGAACTGATAAAGAGGTAAAAGCACAGATAACGAGGGTGGCCCTGGGACAGCTGGAGCCTTAAACACCCTCGGGGCTGGCAGAGATTTTGAGAACCCAAGATCACTCTCTGCTCTGCATGAAATGTCCAGGTAGAATTCAGTGGAGGATGCCAGTAAATATATTAATAGTATACATTTTTTGTGAAGTTTTATTTGGTTTTGATTAAGTGCTACATTTAATACTTACTTTACCTGCTATAAAAGCCTGACATTCCCTTTGACTCTCAGCCTTCTGGGGCTCTCTATCCACGGCTCCACCATCTGCCTGGGCTTTACAGAGAAGGCAATGAGGTTAATGAGGGGACTGGAGGTCTGGGGGGGCGGTGTGGGAGTGTGGTTAAGTTTGGAGAAAACTCAGAGAGATGGGAACTGAAAGGTAGATGAGAAAACTGAAGCCCAGAGAAGCATTCAGGGATCGACCATACCAGCTAGCAAGTGATTCAGTAGTTCTGCTCCCTCCTACCCCCACCCCAAGAGGATGAGTAGCCTGAGGAGCAGAGCAGGCACAGGGTTGGGCCTGATGTCAGGGAAAGCTTTCCAATAGCTAGGTTCTCCAGCTGGATCATTCCCTTTTGGTACAGGCCTGAGCATGAAGGTAGGCCACTCACTTTGGTATAGATGACGGCTTCTGAGCATCCTTCCAACTTTGTGATTCTGTATTATGATTTCTGGAGCCAGAGTGGGATCACTGCTGCAAAATGTTCCTGCCCTGATGACAGCCCGGGTAGAAATCCCTGGGACTTGGAGCTAAGGTGTAGTAGGCCAGACCTTGCTGAACTTGGAGCATCTGTGAGTTATCCAGGAACTGGTGAAAGGACAGTTTTATGCCTAAGTTGTTAAAGAGGAGAGCAAATCATGATCCTGGAAATTTCACACAGCCAACTAAATTTTATACCTGAAAATATGCTAGAACAACAACAAAAATAGCATTTTTAGAACAAATTACATGCTTTTAGATGAGGACAGGTAGTATATAGGGTCTGGTCTTAGAGGACCAGGAGCTATTTTACATGTCTATTTTCATTATCTTCGATAAAACAGTAAATTTATTTACTATTTTAAAATTTTAAATGGTTTTACAAACCTTTTGTTTCTGCCTAGCTAATTAAATATCTTGATTAGATACAGTGAGAATTATTGATAATTATTACAAAAACCGGATTTATTGTAATGAACCTTTTAATATGTCCTTTTGCTACAGTAATTGCTACAGTCACTTGTTCTAAATGATTTGGCATTAGGATCACAAGCTTTTGATGCTTATCACACTATGTTTAGCATACCTTTGACCATCTGTTTTTCCATGTCTGTCCTTGATCATGGGTTTAAATGCCATTTAACTCAGACAAGGACCCGCTCAGAACCTTTTGGAGCATGACTATCTCCATGTCTTAGATCCATTGCTTAACTTTCTATGGCAGGTGACCTTATGAAAGGTCACAGGGCAGTATTTTATCTCCTTATGGAGTTTCTGTCATTCTGGAACACTTCTGTTTCTCAGTGAATCATTCTTTGTCATTCATAGTTTCCTCAGTGGTGAATTTTTTTTTCAAACCCCCAAAACATTTTTGTGGTATTTGTTTTACAGTTTGATAAGGATGCCAAGACTTTCCAGGCTTTTTATCTGGAATGCTGTTTTTAACAGTGAACTTCATCAGGAAAAATGACCTTTTTCCTGTATTGAGTATTGTGTTGCATTCTTTTTCCTTAAAAAGGGTTAGAAGGGGAAAAAAATTGTGGGCTGGAGAATGCTTCTTGAAATTCTTAGCTCCCCCATACCTGTAGCTGGTGTCTGAATCTGTCATTAAAATGTCCTTTTTTAAGTGTACCCTCTGCACATTTCTTAAACCACAGAATTAAAACAAACCACAGCCAGAGCTATGAGAGAGTATGTATATAACATTTAATCCCTCCCTCCCCTGATCAAATGGGGGAGAGAGCTCAAGGCCCACTAGGGTCCTGCTGCCCAGTGCCAGGAGAAGCACCAGTAAATGCACAGCCACTTCTTTCACAAAATGAAAACCTGTCTACATTGTTTCTTATCCCAAGTAATCCTCACATCCCATGTGTCCAGAGGAGACAAAAGAACCGGTTGGTTTTCTGCCAGGATCAGTTCTTTATTCCTTCCTGTGCAGTGCCATCAGCCTACCCACCAGTGATCTGCCCCAAAATGCTCTTTCCTCATCTCCAAGCTTCCCTGGCTCCCTCACGTCAAATCTCACCTTCAAAAGTTCCCCTTTTCTACCTCCATTTATATTAGGCCATCACAGCCACCATCGATGCTACTTATCTAATGTGGAGTACTTATCAGGTTCAAATTCAGGATCCAGAAAAGTGAAAAGACAAATGGTTTTCCTTTCTTTCTTTTTAGGTTTCAAGTGCCCAGTGTGCTCCAAGTTTGTACCTTCAGATGAAATGGACTTACATCTTGTGATGTGTTTAACAAAGCCAAGGATAACCTATAACGGTGAGTCACCAGTATTGGTCTCTTTATCACTTTAATGAAACTTCAGTATCTAAAAGTTTCCCTTAAGGCAGGGATAGAGAATCTTGGTGGGTTTTTTGGTTTATTTGTTTTTGTTTTTGCTTTTGTTTTTTTGTTTTGTTTTGTTTTTTTAGAAACAAGTCCATTAAGCTCCATTGAGGGAAAAAGCAGCTTATGTCTAAGTGTGAAACAGGGTTGGCAGTGTCGAGCCCCTTTTGCGCCCCCAAGCTAACTGCGGTGGCTAGAGAATGCCCAAAAAGTCAGAGTAGTGGGTAGGCAGGCCCAAGGAGAGCTGAAACCCCAAAGACTGGCCAGCTACAGAGCAGCCCCTGGGGGCGGAGATGGGGTAGGGGGAGGGGGAGGAGTCCAAACCACTGTGCTTTAAATACCCTGCCCACTGGGGCTGTGTTCTTTAGAGTCATTTCATAGAGGTTTTGCTATTGGCTTCTTCTACTGCTAATGGAGATGGATCTGTGTCTGATGCCCCCAGCTAGCCAAACTCCTTGAAAGAAGCCCAACCCAGAAGAGTAGGGCTCAGTTAAGGATGAGGGAACCTTCTGTTTTTATTGTGGGTGGAGGTGGTTTTATTTCTCACACTCACAGATTGTATTTGTAGATCAATTAGCCACCTTCCCAAAAGGATGACTGGGTACCCTTGGGATGAGAGGACGTGCTAGGAACCTCGACCCTGGCTTAATAGAAAGTTGTGCTGATTTTCAGCTATGTTGTCTTTATGTGAATACTGTCCTGAAAAAAGCTAGCTTGTGACATAGCAGTACTTTTAAAATAAAAAAAAAATTATTTGTTGAATGTCCAGTATTGACTCATAGAGCTAGGGGAAGAGTATGCAAACTAAGTCAGCTTTTTAATAAACTTTGGCTTAGGATTTTTGAAATGTAAATATCACCACTGCAAGAAGTAGAACAGTAGGTGAGAACCCAGTGTCTCCCTACATTACTAAGCTTGGATTCATTGGAAAAATCTTTCTGGTTTTTCATGTAATAAGATCTGCCACTGAGGAAATATGAAGCTTAGATGGAAAAGATCACTCACTGAAGTTACAGTGAAAATAAATCTTTATCAAAGGTTCTCACAAGCTAGGAGCATAGAAAGAGTTTTAGGCTGAGTCCACATCTTTTTTTTTTTTTAACTGATGCCAAATGGGAGATTGAAGTAAAAAAGTAGATTAGAAGGGGATGGATTAGGTGACCTCGAAAGTCCCTTCTAGTTTCAGAATTCTATAATTCTACTTAGGTCAATTAAGAAGAACAAGGGTCTGAACCAACTTTTAGGTGCGGATTGCAGACCCCACCTCTGATTTCACTGATAAGCTTTGAGAAGAAAGTTGATTGCATCTCTTTTCTAAAATAGTTGTGCATTTAAAATTTTTGTACTTTTTAAGTAGAGGAGGAAACATTAGAGAACATTAAAGAAAGCAGGGGTCGTTTTTAGGACCGAGAACAAGAGCTCGTTGAAACAGATTGTTTCTTTAGGAATCATAACTTGTGAGCTCCCTTTGAATATTCAGGATTCTTGAACTGATTTTTTAAAAATGTAGTTGTAACATGGGGTCTGTAGAAGAAAACCTTTTGCCCCCAAATGCTTCTCTTTAGAATTGCATCTTGAATTCTAGAATCTGGGGGTGGGTGGGAGGTGGTATTTGTGTTTTTTAAATATTCTGGCCAGCCTTTGAGGTCAGATCACTTACCTTTCTTAATATTTACAGAGTAATAATTGTTTCCCTTAAAATACCAACACATATTGTCACTATGTCCATGCTGGACTGAGCCTGATTGCAGCTCAAACTCTGGAGCTCCCCAGCCTCAGTTTCCTCATCCCCCTGAGCCTCCAGTGAGCAGGGATTACAGGCCCCTTCCACCTTTGGCCGCAGCAGCTAAAGTATTTGACTTAGAGGCTGAGAGCTTTTGAATGCATTTCCCTCCAAGAAAATAAAGGAAGGTTCCTCCCTAAGCAACCAACAAGCATCTGTTTAGCGCCTAGTATGTCCAAAGCTTTAAGAAATATAGAAACAAACGAAAGACTGTTATCTCCAGGAGACTGGATTGAGTGGGAGGAGACAAGATGTGTGTGTTCTGTGTAATGAATATGAGACAGGGAGGCTGGAGGCCCTGGCAAAGGCTGAGGAAAAAAGGGCTCTAGGGCCTTGCCCAGGGCCACGGGGGTAGTGTCCAGATCTTTTTCTGACTCTGAGCCAGTTCCAGCACCAGGCCTACTGCTCTGTTCACTTCATTGCCCAGCCTGGGTTGCTTGGAGTTGCACCTTAAAGGAGAAGGGATTCTTTGAGTCACAGATGAGGAAGGAGGCTTGGGGTGACCAATGCAGTGGCCTAGAAAACTGTCCCGATTAGAGAGAGTGGGGAAAGAAATGACGTCCAGAAGGTTGGGAAGGTGAGTTGTGTTTGATCCTGAAGGCCACGGAATGAGCCATTGAAGTCAACTGCCAAGGTGGAGAGGGTCACTTTCTTGGTGGGTACCCAAATATTTCTCAGATTTAATAGAGTAGTTTGGGGAGATGTTGCCAACAAACTGGAATTTCTGTTGGGCTGCTTTGCTCAATAGAATTGAGTGGCCAGTGGATATTCACGTGGACAATGTTTCTAAATATTTTATGTTATCGATAGAAAAATAATCAGCGTTCAATATTGCTTCTGCCTTAGGGTCTGACATTTCCCACCATTCTTACATATTGGCTACAGGAAGGAAAAATGTTTGAAGGAGCAAATGCCGAACGAATCAGTAGGTTTTATTTGAAAGTTGATTCTGAATTTGGCTGCTATTTTTGGTTGCCCATGTGGTACTAATGCAGTGCATCTATATGAAGTTAAGAAATCATGTATCTAAGCTTATGTTGAATGTAAATCTCACACATGTGTGCTCTTTTAACATTTTAAAACTTCAATTTTTTTTTTGGTGGTGGTGTATGTATACTTTCTGTGGTTATCATGAAAAAGAGCAATAGTTTGATAGAAATGATTAGGAAGTAGAACCTCCACTGAATTTGTCTGAATGAGGAAAAGGCTTCTGGCAGAGCAGAGGATTTTAGAAAGGAACATGAATGGAAGAAATTGGTGAAATGATTTGTCTGACAGATTTGTGCTGTGTGTATAATAACTGTCATTTATATCTACGCCCCGACTTCTCTTTCCATCAATTCTTCAGTCACCAGTGATTCATCCCTTGCCCTCCCATACCTTGGCCTATTATTTCTTCCATTGTCTTTTTTTTTTTTTTTTGGCTAGGCAGATGGGGTTAAGTGACTTGCCCAGAGTCACACAGCTAGTAAGTGTCAAATGTCTGAGTACAGATTTTGTACTCAGGTCTATCCACTGCACCACCTAACTGCCCCTCTTCTATCGTCTTTTTCACCTGTCTTTGTTTCCATTCTTAATGCCATCACGCGAGTTTGCCTCTCTTGGATGATTGTTTCTTTGTAAGTCTCTCCTTCAGTGGTCTCTCTGTGTTCTTCTTCCCCTGCCCAGCCCTGGGGAGCCTCCGGCCTTTCCCACTCCCACCCTTCTTACTGGACACCACATGTCACCCCCACCCTAAAGCCTCTAGGGGTCGACTGTCTACATTAGCAGGTCTGCTGTGTCTCAGCCCCTGCTGGGTGCTGAGGATGTCAAGGGAGAAGGGATGGTCCTGGAAGCTCACTTTGGTTCAGAGGAGACGACGTGCATGCCTAGAAGTTTATATGAAATGTATCGAATCGTGGTGGGGGGAGATGAGGAAAGCCTTCATGTATATAGAACAAGGTGTATGAGCAGAGCTCTGAAGGAAGCTCGGGATTCTCAGAGGTGTGAAGATGAGTGAGCGAAGGCCTCAGAGCCTCTCCAGAGCCTTTAGATGAACGTTGTGGAGGAGGCCATTTTGGCCTGATCATCGCGTGTGTGAGAGAAGTGAATCCTGTCTAGGAAGGGCTTTAAGTGGCAAACGGGGGGTGTATTTCATCCTTGTGCAAATTGGTTGTCACTGAAGATTCTGGTGAGTGAGTTCAGGTTCTCTTGGCCGTAAGGCGCCTCAGGCTGCATTAGTAAGGGGCCAGAGAAGAGAGCAAAAAAACTCAAGGCTCTTGGTCATCTGAGCATCACCCAATATAAAGACTTGGATGATTAATTTAAATTTTACGCAATGGGCAAATTATGGCAAGAAATGTTTTGTTGCACATTCCTTGACTTAGATTTTGGAAGGATCAGGTGACAGAATTTTATTTCCTGATTTAACTTTTTTTTTGGCTAGGCAATGGGGTTAAGTGACTTGTCCAGGGTCCCACAGCTAATAAGTGTCAAGTATACTGAGGCCAAATTTGAACTCGGGTCCTCCTGACTCCAGGGCCAGTGCTCTGTCCACTGCGCCACCTAGCTGCCCCCTGATTGCTCTATTTTGAGACCTCTCCATGCTCCCATTCTTCTAGCTTCTCACCCTTAGAATAATCCTTGGATCTTAACTTGCCCTCAACCCCTATATCTAATCAGCTGCCAGCCTGGTAGAGTGGAAGCTCCTTGAGGGAGGGCAGGGATTATGAGAACTGCAGTATCTCCTGTGTCTGTCTGTCTTCTGCTCACCTGGTCCACTCACCTCTCATCAGGACTATTAAAATATGAATATTAAAATAGCCTGATTGGTCTCTAATACAGCCTCCACAAAGCTCCCAAATTAATATTCCTGAAACCTAGGCCAGACTATCTCATACCCTTGTTGAGGAACTTTCATTGGTTCATTCCTAGAAGGCTAAAATACAAATATCTCTGTTCGGCATTTATAGACTTTGAGTCCATCTCTGGCCAATCCTTCCTGTCTACATTACAGCCAAACTAATATGTTTGGATGTCTCTCCTCCCCTCTGCCCTGAAGGCCCAGTTTAGTTACCACCTCTTAAACGGTTTCCTGAGCCTCTCCCTTTCGTGTAATGACTTGCTGTATATGTTCACTCCCCACCCCACCCCTTGCCCAGTTGACCCTTTT